ATTCGGTCAAAGTGCATGAGCTTGTATAAAAGCTCCAAATCTCCACATAATGTAACTTGTTGATAACTAAACCGATGTCGCCTAATGACTGCAAGACAGTGTTTCAGCCTCGTAACTTCCATAAAAGATTGAATAAGTTGAATTAATTTCGAGCCTTGAAGTAAATGCTTCTGATTTTGCTCAAAAAGTGGCCATTGTACTCCAGCTACACGATTTGGAGATATCCATGATGCATCTACGAAGCAACAAAGCTGATTGACTAGTTAGATAGCTTGTTGCATTAAACTTGGGACATTCCTATTAGAAAAATTCAAATCAGAAGTTGAATGATCATAATTAGCAGACTTAGATTGCTTAAAAATATAATGTAAAAATAGTATTTTCTATTTTAGATTTGAAAATAGAGGTGTGGTGAAAAAAAATTGACTCTGAACTCGATGATTTAGAGATGGTCTTATAATGCTACTTGTACATAGTCGAACTATATATTCTTGGTTGCGACGTAGTTTTCTTCCCAAAATCATCCATTCCGACGTGGATGCGAGTCATTCTCCAACAAACGAAACTCTTTTCCTAGACTCTTAAAGTATTTTGGAAAGTAGGCAAGACCAAACGAAAAACCACGAAATAGTCCTCCAAAAAATTTGCGATCTTACCCGAACACACCACACTTCTTTTTCAGTCACTTTTAAGTGGAGTTAGTGAAATTATTTTCCACATTATTTCACCGCAAAATTAATTTGTATTTAAATGTTTTATTCAACCTACTAATTCTTCACTTTTACGACCATTTACATGTTGATGTTCAACAAAGTTCTACAAAAATTCTACAAAAATCACAATATATGTCAAGAATTTAAAAACTATTGACGTTGATGTTTAACAAAGATATCTGTGTTGTTTAAGAAATATTCTTTTTAATAGTATGAAATTTTTATATTACAAATTTGATAGTTTTAAATTATAATAGAACATGGTGATTATTATAGTTAGGATTATCAAAATAGGGCATAAGTTAGCTGGTTTTCGTTTTGTCAGTTCAATAACCAAATGAATTTAAACTTAAAGTTTCCATTTGTCAATACGCAGTTTTGTAAATTTCAAAAATAACTACATCCAATAACAATAAATATAGATAAGAGAATGAGAGGGGAAAAAAATGAAAGTCCAAAACAAAGAATCAATGTTATGAAAACCGGAACGGATGGGGTCGGACCGGGTTCGACCGCGAACTGGCCGGCTAGCCAGGTTGGGTTGACTCGGGTTTGAG